CAAACCCGGAATAACATTCATAAAGCAATAAGACTTCATCTCTATGTTCCATGGCCGCTTCTCCTTTCGGGTCGTGGAGGCAGACGCCTAAGACACAACTTCCAACGTTCCCGATCTTGTGCCAGAATCTGAGCTTCGGCAGATGACAAATGGAGTCTGGAACAGATTCTTTCCATATATCTGCACCAGGTTAATCGTGGCCGTCCCTTGGGCCATCTGTCGGTCGGATTAGCAAGGAACAGTTGCCCAGCCTTCCTTTCTGGAGACATTCGCAACATATGTCCAAACCATCGCAGCTATGACTTCTCAATCTGGAGAAGCAGAGGCAGGACACCAAGGCTCTCCCGATGTCAGTATTCCGGATAAAGCAATAAAGCAACAATTAATAATGCAAAAACGAAAATAAAGGATCAGATATTGGCATATAATTACCTGTCGAAGAATAGCACAATTAAGTTATCATCGTTTTTGTATTCATGCAATGCCTCCCGTAGTAGGCGAACCTGCTGACTTCCGCCGGCAAGAGAAGGAACCTCGTTGTCTTTCAGCGTTGTCCGGCGACCAATCAACTAAAAGAGAATGTTACAAAAAAGCGAAAACGAGAGTAGGTAGCGGTCATACTACTTAATCCATAGAAAGCTGGCATCATCTAAACTTATGCCTTAAAATTACTTAAAGGTTTCATCTGGCGAACGGCGTCGCATGTTTTCATTCACCAGAGCCTGTGAACAACAAAGTAACATCCATAGATGAAGATTTTTGCAACACATTTTTTAACTTTATTTCATTCATTAATCCAGGGTCCTACTTTCACTACTCGACCATCAGTTTGATTCTACTGCATTGTGGCACGCTGTCTAAGAGGTCCGCTTTGAACACCGGAGTTACGCGGTTCCATTCCGCTCGAAGATAATCTGTCTGATTCAGGAATTCCTCTGAGCAATGAATTTACCACACATCGCTTCAAGCCGCAGTTGCTCATAATCTCGAGTTCAAGTGCCGGTCGGGGGTCATTCACCCTTCTTCTTTCCAAGATGAAAACTGAGTATCACTTTGTGGGAAGGAAACAGGAGACTACACGCTACGCTTGCCACATGACTGCAGACTCCGGTTTTAAAATAAGGCTCCTGCCTGACGGCACATAAATGGAGATCTACAGTGCACCAAAAAGTGCCAAAATAGCCCAATCATAAAAATGAAGGAAGACCTATATTCCAGCGCTGACCAACTTTCCTCTTCTATTGCATTTTTCGAAGACTTATTCCCAGTTTAATAAACCATTAATGATCATATGCTCACGTGTCTCAATGACGGCTAAAGAGACACTGTTCTACATATTTCTTGTTCTTATTTTGAGCACATTTCATTTGTACTGTCGAAGACAGTGCTTCGGCAGTTCACAAACGGAATAACACTGCATAAATTTTTTATTAACAACATACAAAGACTCTGACGTGTCGGATTCTCCTCTGTCCGTCTTTCGAGAAACAATGAGATTTTACACGGCGTTATTTTCATCCGGGTCGGGCTAGTTTGTCTGATTTATGGTGCCAGCGTTTGTCGTTGGCTGTAAGCGATCGTTTCATATTTTCGGTCCACGTTTCGCTGACATCTGTACTAAGGTCACGACTGACATAGCCGGCTGCATAAACCGCCAGCGCTTCCTAAGCTTTAAGCGTGCAGTATTGTTTTTCCCACGCGATACCCTTCATCAGATGGATTACTGCATGTTATTATGCCATAGCGGAAATTTTTTCATATGCCGCTTTGATATTCTTGGTATCATTTGCTTGCTTCAGTCATCCAACTACTTGCTTGGGACCTCTTACTTGCAGAGTTGTTCCATCTTTTGTGCTGTATTCTATTCCTCAATTGTGTTGCCCGTTTCAATTATGTACACTGTACCACATGAACAGGAGAACATGTACAAGCAACCATGCCTCTGCTCCTTTGGTCTATTAACATTGAGGTGGCTGAGGCGACAGCGAATCATTGTATCGAAACTGAATACAATGTCCAGACCAGCTTTACACCAGAAAAGTTCCTAACTTTTCGCTCACTTTGCTAACGCACAATAAGGTAATGTAGATATCACCAACACCTTCAGGACTAATTAAAACAAAAAGCAGCATCAGTCAACGATGTAGCATAACACAAAAATGGACAATATCTAAAGATGGGTCACAACTGTCCGTACTTTAGTAGGTAGTGATTTATCATGCAACTGACTTTGTGCTTTTATGCTGTATATCAATTCTATAGAAAGTGACGTTTCCTTATTCTCAATAACAAGATCGCTATGAAATTGGAAAAAAGCTAAAGAACCACACCAATTCAAACTAAAATCTACCCCGCTAATTTAAGTTAAAGACAAAAATTACGAAATAGGACTAGCAATTCGTGCGACAAAAAAAACTGCCTACGCATTGAAGCACAAAAGCCGTAAAAAACCATCAGTTCAGTTGGATCATGTTGGAGTGACCGAGACATCGCTGACGGCGGCCATTCCTTTGAAACGCTAGTTGAAACGGAACTAAGTAAACACGCGAATAAGCACCTTCGGGACTGCTTTCTTATGCCGTGCGGGCGCTAAAGAAACAAGTCCAACGTGCAGGCATTATATAAGATGGTCTTCGGATATTTACACAACAAAGGTGGACTTAAGCCACAGTAACTATGTGCATATAAATTGAAGTCAACAAGGGTGCAGTAAATATGCCCCGATGGCTGCCGCTTCGGTAGCTGAAAATATGGCCAGCCGAACACAGTTTAGTCAAAAATGGGGAATTATCGTACAATCTGCTATTTCAATCGCAATCAGACACCAGAATCACCGGAGTTATATTAAGTTATCATGCCTGATTGACGTATTGGCATAGTTATCTAAGAGGTCTGCTTCCATCTCAGGAGGTGCGGTGTTCGATTCCGCTAGAGGGCAATCTTTGTCTTACTCAGGAATTCTCTCGAACAAGGAATTTACCATACATTGTTTCAGACTGTAGTTGCTCAACGTCGAACTCAAAACCAATAAGTCCTGGGTTCAAGCCCCGACCAAGGATACCCGCACTTCTTCTTTTCGAGGTTGATAAATGAGTATCGCTCTATGATAAAGAAACAGAACAGTACACACTACACTATTCACAAAGCTATAGACTGCCTTAAAAAATAAAACTTCTGGCTGATGGCACAGAAACGGAGATCGACCCCTACCATTCATTTCATCAAAAGAATGCGTCAAAATGGCCAAATCATGAAAACTAAGGAAGACCGACATTCCAACGCTAACCAGGTTTCCTAACTTCGCAACGACTGACTGGTTGATTTTTTTTTTCAAGAATTCCATTAGCGAAGACAGTTTCTATAGCGGCAGTATAAATGAAAGCCTATATCTAATCGAAATCTGAACGGATATTGAACAGA